ATATATATATATATATATATAATATACTTTTTAAATTTTATTCTATACTAATATTGATTTTTAATTCTAATGCATAATTTGTCTTAATTTAAAGATTTGATTAAAGATTGTAACGAGACTGTATGGATTACGAAACACTGATTATTTTTAGTGAATAACGATCCTCGCACTTGCCTTTTGGAGACATCGTCATCATTATTAAGTAAAACAATCGAATGGCATTGTTCTGCGCGCGGAGCGGTGAGGTGAGGTGAGGGGGACAGCGAAAGTTAGACGGAGGCGATTCGAAAATCAACTAAAAGTTGCACTGTCCCCTTCACCACACCGCGTGCAGCTGAAATGCCCCATGACAGTCGAATGGCATTGTTCAGCGCGCGGAGCGGTGAGGTGAGGGGAACAGCGAAAGCTAGACAAAGGCGATTCGAAAATCAGCCGAAAGTTGCATTTGCCCGCCCCTCCTCACCTCATCTCACCGCGTGCAGTCCAAGTGCTCCATGATGATCGAATGGCATTGTACTGTACGCGGTGCGATACGATAAGAGGGACTGCGAAAGCTGGACGAAAACTATTCGAAAATCAATCGAAAGTTGCACCCCTCTCACCTCACCAGGACATCGAATGGAATGTGGTCGACGATGACAATAATGATGATAACGACGACGACAATAATAATAATGACGACGACGACGTATCTTAAAAATAAAGCGTGAAAATTACAGATTCGGACTTTGAGTCGTGATATCTTTGCTCGTAGGACACGTAGAGAAAAAATGAAAGCACTTTTATTATACAATTTAAGCAATTGCTATCGATTGAGCGTATATAGAACTTGATCCGTTCAGCCGTTACTGAGATCTGATCATCTCAATCCCCCGAAACTCTCAGTTTCGCGTAAAGGAGGCACGGCAGTGCCGCGGCGCTTGGCTTAGCGCCGAGACACTACCGTGTCTCCAGATTTGAAGCGTCAATTTTAATATCGATTGGTTGTGTTAGTAAGCTTGCCGTACAGACTGTAAATGAGAGGGAAATCAAGAGGATTCGGGAATACATTGCCGCTTATAATTTATTGCGTTATCCGACTAAAGATAGATCTTTACATAATTTTATTACAAAAACGTCGATGTATAAAAATACATTTGAATTTTTATTCAATATTTACATTCTGTACACATGAAAATAAATTTTTCACTATACTTCATAACTTATTACATATCAACGTTCATCACAGTTCATCATTGTTCATTTATAATCAGTCTTCTTGCACTTGTATACGCAGCTGTTCGAGCTCATCTTCGCTGCTCACAGAGCAATTTAAAATATTCATCTTTTTCTTTTTAGTACGTTTTGCATTCTTGTTAGAACAGAGATGTTTTCGTTTATTTTGTTCCAATTTCTTTTCCATTCTCTCTAATAACAAATCGTCATGGACGAGTATGCTTGGTTCTACGTCTTCCGCAACGCAAAATGAATCCTAAAATCATAATTAAATAAATATTTAAATATCTTATTAAATTTTCATATATAAAAATTGGATTTTTTGTACTATAATCGGAGGTAAAGTTTGTAATACAATAATATACGTACATAAACATATGAGTTTTGAATCTGTGGCGAAAGTTGCGAATAGATCTCTACTATATTCGGATCAGGTGATCGTGGTTTTCTAAAATGAAAAGCGCCTGGTTTCTTTACCGGACTCTTAACAGTTTGTAGATAATATGCGTGCATGTCGACTTGTTCCTGTGAGAACTGTGTATAGCTCACGAAATCTCCAAAATCCTCGTCATCTATACTAACGATCTCATCCGAACTGACATCAGAGTCTACTTCAGCTTCATCATCTATAAACTCGTTTTTGACATTGTTTTTGCGTTTGAGCTTACACTTGCTTTTCTTTGCGATTTTTTTATTCAAAGGAGAGATTTGCTTTGGTGTATCAGGGCTAGATTTAAAAACTTTTTTTTCTGTTGTATTGTTTACATATTTATCAGACACTTTAAAGAAATTCAAATTTATCGTACTCGAATTTTGCTGGACTTTGTTTCGTTTCAAAGATAGTTTTGAATGTCTATTATTTTTTGGTGTTGATGCGCTACATCGTTTAAGATTCGAGATATTAAAATAATCATCTTTCGTTTCCAAGGTTTCCGATGTATCATCAAAATAGCCATTTCTAATTACTGAGTTTTTTGATGTACTAGGCATGTATCTAATATCGTCTTTTAAATTTTTCGACGAATTGCGAAAGTAACAACTTTCAAGCTCATTAAATTTCTTAGCACTGTCTTCTGTAATTATGAAGTCTTCATCAGAATCATTTAGGAAATCAAAATCTTGTTTAACAGTACGTAATTCAACAACAGAATTGCAATGAGTATTGGCTAATGTAATGTTTCCTGTCCTTGAATTCGGGTCGTTTTTCTCAGCTTTGATGTCATTTTTAATATTAACTGAAATCCAGCCAGTACTCTCTTTGTTAATCGATTCTTCTTTATTTACAAAAGATTTCCTTGATGTTGCTAAATTTTTTTTTACTCGTGCTATTTCGCCAATAGCTTGAGTTATAGATAACAAGCTCTCTTCTGCTTTGAAATTGCGTATCGACTTATTTTTATTAGAATCACATTTAATAAAATCGCTTATATCAACATCACTATTAAAATCAACATCTTGTATTTCATCAATAAGATTTGCGTATTTGTCCGATTTAGAAGGTTTCATAGATGATGATAGATTAGTTCTAACATTATCTTCCTCATGAAAAGTATTAACGTTAGCCTCATTCGATACATTGATTTCTCCTGCATTTTTAATAAAAATGTTGGAAAGATTTGATTCCGTATTTTGCAATGCTGTATTATCCTTATTTTCTAAATTGTTTTCTACTGAACTAAATGATTTATTTAGTATGTTCTCAAATACATCCTCTTCTTCTAAATTTTTTTCGACAGAACTAAATGATTCATTCAATATGTTCTCAAATATCGTAGATTCCTGGTCTTCTAGTGCATTAGTTGATAATTCAGTTCTTATGTGGGTTAGAATTTCATTGTCCTTTTTTGTTTCAGATGTAGATATATTATTTGAATTTATCTCTATATCTGTAATTCGTTGGTTTATACACGAAACTACTGTTTCATTTGTATCGGAACTATCATCAAGTATATCTTCAAATCTTATTTCATTGCTATGAACATTCCCCTCATTTCGGATAGTGCACCAAAAGTTACTATTATCGTTATTAATATAATCATTGCATTGAATAATCTCATTTTCATTTTTACATTGTATTGATAATTTATTTTCATAATTTTTATATTGCGTTAAATTATCTTCTGTTAAAAAAGATAAATCAATAACTTTTACATCAGATACTACAAAACTGAATAAATCTTCAATTGGTTTTGGTGCGGGAATATAAGTCGTATCCATTTTAGGTTTCACGGTTTCAGAAGACATTTCTTCCTCCGATTTCCTTACAGTGTACAATGTCAGGAAATCGATCCCCGCATTGTCATCAGTTAACAGTTTGACATTATTAGGATTTATCTTATTATTATTATTTTGCATTGTTAACTGAGTGAGAATGTTACATGTCTTATCCCGGTTTTGTTCATTACATTTATCAGTAACAAATCTCATCATCGACGACTGACTTAAATTTCCTTTTTTAGATGAGTCTGTCAAACAAATATAATTTTTTGAGAAATATCAAAAAATAAATGTGCTATTCTGATAAATATAAAGCAGTTGATAACAAAATGGAGAATTTAAAGAAATAGATTATTCATTAAACTCACTTTCTTTCTGTTTCACGCTAAATGCCTCCTTCCTTTTATTGACATTTTTTTTCCTTCTTTTTTCTTTTACATTTGGCGTTTTTGGTAATGCTATAATATGCATCTTATGGCATTCTGGAGTAAACTGATTTGGTATCATTCTAGGATTATTATTGTATAAGGAGGAAAATATGTTGCTTGTATGTAATATTTTATTATTCAAAGAATCCCTTCTAGAAAGCGTAGACTTCAAATTCTGCAAGGGTAAACTGGATTTTAGTTAAAAAGTGCATGCATATATTATATCTATATACATACATACATATATGCTTGACAAAAGTCTTGACAAAAAATTAGAGGAAAGTAAGAGATTTTACCTCGTGTTCTTTCCCGTTTGTAACAAGAACAATTATATGACCATCCCGTTTACGTCCGGTTCTGCCCATTCTTTGAACCAATCTTATTGGAGAATGTTGTGATACATCAAAACATATTATAAGATCTACTTCCCCTACATCTAATCCTTCTTCACCTATACCGTATATTTAAAAAAATTAATTTATCATAAGAAAAAAGATAAAATTACAGTATAAAATGATTAATATTGTTGTTTTTCATGCACCTATACTTGTAGAAATCAACACATTCACACGATTGCTTCGAAAATCTTCCAACGCTTTTATTTGTTGCTTTTGCTTCTGACTAGCTTGCCCAACAAACATTTGTGGTCTAATTATTGGTTTTAATTGCAAAAGCAAAATGTACACCTCATTGACTATGTCTCTGTACTAAAAATTTTTAAACAACATATTAAATTACATTTTTAAATATAAATTAATTACACTTTTCTATATTATAATTTATAAAAGTTTTAAATAAATAACATATGTTATATACAAGTGAGTCTATAAAAGTCTAATATACAAACTTCGACGAAAACTATAGCTCTCGTGTCCTTTCGATCACCATTGAAATGATGTTCAAGCAACTCTTTCAGTTTGTAAAATTTATTGTGTCCAAATACAATAGTTGTTGATATCTGAAATAATTATTTCTGTATTATATAATATGTATATTATATGAGTAATAATTCTTTATTCTATTATTGTATAGTTTTGCAAACCTCAGATATGTCCCCATTAGGATACAATTCCGGAAATGGTCCAAGATAAGTTTCTATGTCATGGAGTAAATTTCGTAAATGGTCTTCATTGTGCATCCAAAACTTATCAGAATGAACTAAAAATAAAACTTCTTTAAGTCACTTGCATTAATAAATGTAACCAACAAATTTTGTATGTGTAGTGGAGGGGAAGAGAGAGAGAAGGGAGGAACAGGCAGAGCAAAAAGGTAGAGGAAAAAAAGGGAGGAGGAGCGGGGGAGAGAAGTAATTTAGTGTCTTATAAAATTAACTGTAATATGAATTTATGAATTATAAGTAATATACCTTCATAAAATTTGTAAAAGGCACGCAATCCATGTCTAATCATAAGGTCATAAGCATGATACATAGTTAACAATATATTCAATGTTTTCATAATTTGTGCATAATTTCCGGATTTATTTGTCTTTGTTTTAAATTCCCTCAACAAATAGAATATCTAAAAAAACAGAGTAAACACTTAGAATTACGTACTATAATATTATGTAAAGTATAAAACATTTATAAATATAATTTAATTACCCTTCCTTTAGATATGTTTGCTGTATGACCTCGCAATACATTACTTTGCATAAGAAATTTTACGTGACGATCCATAATAGTAATATACCTCTCTTTGAATGCAGCTAATTCATTGCTAAGAGGTACCAAAATAATATCTACTTTTCTTTTATTAATATATGGTATTATATCAATTGAGTTTTCATCTCTCAATTCCAAATGGGAGATATTTAAATTTTGTATTACCTATGCACAATAAAATATTTATCAAAATATTAAAATAACTTATTACTCCTTAAAATTAAAATTTTTAATAACATTAAATATTTACATATACAACATTAAATTTACTTACTTCATGAACATTATCTATTTTATTTCCAGGCGTAGCAGAAAGTGCTAATATCCTGAAGTGTTGATTCTGCGTAGATAATATTCTGATACACTAAAAGTTATAGATTTTTTTAAACCAGTATTCATAGTCTGTTCTTATTTTAAGACCATTTTAAGTAATATCTTATAGCAATTTTGGCTGGACTACACCAGTATGCACTGGTGCATACAAAAATCTTCATACATAATTGTCATGTAGCATGTTTTTTTTTTGTAATAACAATGTATAATGTATTTTTTAAGTTCATTTACCTCACAATATGAATGCTTGCCCAAAGCCTTATGAGCTTCATCCACAATAACACACTTAATTAGATGACTTGGTATGATTGATCTTTCAAGATCATTATGAAACACTTGAGGAGTAGCAAATATTATTCTTTTCTTGAGCCAAGCTATTTCACGATTCTTCTGAATTACTGCACCTGTATGTTAAACAATATATTTTTATTAGATTATATGATACATATAGTACAAAATACATACATTTGTACTATTAAAGCACTCTCCAGCTGCATTTAAAAATGTAAATAACAGTAATAAAATGTAAACAACATTAACAAAATATATATATTTTATGTAATGTTAATTATAAAGTTTTAGTTACTGTAATTAGGTTTTTTAGAATGTACCCCAACAAGAAACATAAAGATCTAGGCTATGTTCCAAAATTCACTGTCATCATTACTGAAAATCTGTTAATGTTGTATGCACAAGTTTTTTTAATACTGGCAATTAATTTTAGAATACAGCTATAGTAACACAGTGAATCATTACATCTTTATTCTTTGCCAATGTTAAACAAAGAAAAGAAATTAAATATAGGATAAAATATTTATTCACTTCATCATTTTTATCAAAAAAGGAGAGTTGGTTCATGATTTTTAATTCTAAAATTACTCGTCCTTTCATATCTTCTATGATCTTTTTTATCTATCTAATAATCTTATAACTAAAGATACATTCAGGAAGATGTTAATTAGTGCTATTTATGTCAATTTGTCCTTGCTTTACACCTAATAAGCGATGAAGATAGAATGATATAAATGATGTTAATAGCATCTTCTAGAATATATCCTACAACCGTTCTATCTAGTTTTTCCTTCTTTCTTTTATCTTCTCTCTATTTCTCTCACTTTTATCTTATCTATCTATACATTTATTTGTCTATTTGTCTCTTAAATAAAAATGAAATAATCACTGTATTATATTAGTTGCTTTCCATTTACACACAAGTGAAACTGAGTCTGAAGTGAGCTGAGTGTAAAATACTCAGATTAATGACGTCACTACTTGCTTACTTTGGTAAAATTAACAAATAACAACACAGGTTTATAACCTCACTTTTAAAGTGAGTCTACGAGACTCAATAAAGCACACGATCTCGATCTTGTGCAGTTTGTAAAAACTCAGTTGAATCTCACTTCTCAGAATGCAAAAGGAACGCGCATTCATCTGAGTTATGACGTCACAAGTGAGAATTATCTGAGAATCGGAGTAAATGGAAAGCAACTATTGTCTCTTCTTAAAAAGCATCATAAATAAAAAATAGGTTAAAACCTGTCAACTCCATCATATCGATGCTTGGAATCCCCATTACTTCATAGCATGCTTTAATCTGCTGAGCAACCAGAGGTTTTGTAGGTGCTAGAAATACAATCTTTCCAGATGGATACCACCTCCAGAAATTATACATCACAACGGCAGCAATAAAAGTCTTTCCCAAACCTGTCATGGAATTGAAAACAAAAATATTTTTTCATCTGAATGATTCATTAATACACACTAACAAGAAAATAAAATATATATCTTTTTACCAGTGGGTAAACAGACCATAGTATTTCGATATAAGGCAGATTTAACTATGTTATACTGGTATTGGCGGATTGGATAATTTTCCGGATATATCCAAGTATTTCCAGCCGAGAGATCGAATCCTTTGGTCTCTGGATGTTCAGAAACTTGGATACTTTGCGATTCCATTTTTGAAGAGTTCTCGTTCGATCTATACACTCCAGAGTCAAAATAAACAGACGGTGATCACTTTTCAACATAATCGATATTAATTTTAAAAAGTGAACATGAATATTTTATCTCAGATAGACACAACACAACATGATAATTACAAGAGAACTTCAGAGACTTGTTAGGATTTGTGACAGCAAAAACTTGTAACCATATGTGATTCACGTGGATAGTGGTGGACAGTCCGTAGTGAATCAGAGAAACCTGAGAGAGAACACGAAAGGATGTAAAGGACTTTGTTGTAACCGCAAAATGTCCCTAGTGTTCCTATAATTTTTGTAACAGTGAAACGTCCGCCGGTAAAATAGAAACAAACGTACTTCTACTTTTTCTTAAGAGATCGCGCTACTTTCACGTTCTTCCGGCTTCCGGGCTTTCTGCTTTCAGAAATTATCTTATTCTTGTTTAACATTGAGTGAATAACAAGGACAAGACGGTACACGGAGGCATTCCGGTTCCGGTGATGTTTCCAAACACAAATCCCGGTGAGTAGAATATTATTTTGACTACGTAATTTTTTTGTGACATAATAAATAAAATATTGCCGCAATTATATTAAGAAACATGTGTGTATAATATATATATATATATATATAACACACGCATAACATAATATCTATAATAATACTATATAACTATACACATGCGCGCGCATATATGTATATATCTATCTATTTAATAATAAATAGAAAAGAGTTTAAATAATAAATAAGAGGCCAACATAAGATATAATTAATCATATAGAGAGGAATATTCAAATATTATTTTGGATAATAACTCAAGATATTTTTATTCACAATGTGGTAAGTTCACTCAATTAAATTAAAATATTCATTTTGTGTGAAAATCTTGATTTTAAGTTTAGAATTATATATTAATTATATTAAATATAGTATATGCTAGATATGAGCCAACTGATGTCGCTGCGCGATGTTCAGTCGTGGCAGCGCGTTTTATTTCTATCGATTTCTTTTTAACTGACTTGAAAATTTGTTTGTAATTGCGGCTATAACTTTAATTGTATATTTTGTTGATGGTATAAACGCTTAAATTGTGATATCATTTTTTAAAAAATTTTGGGAAAGAATAAAAATCGGAAGGAATGAAATAGATTTTCTGATCAAAATTATTTCGTTTTTTCTACAAATTACAATCAAAATCTAGGGAGTAATTGAATTCTGATCGGAATATATTCTAAATAATTTCATAATACGTATATATACAGGGTGTCCCATTTTTTGCTTCTCCATTTCCTGAAGAGTTATTCACGTTTCCTGTTTCAAATGGAACACCCTGTATATTCAACCTATCATGAGAAATGTCGGAATAAATTTTGATCGGAATTATTCAACTATTTCTTAGATTTTTATTGTGTTTCTTAGAGAAAATGGAATAATTCCAATCGTAATTTATTTCGACATGTTCCATAATAAGTATATTCACCAGGATGCAGAGCAGGATGCATATAATATAACACTCGCATGTTTCCGTATATACAAATATCTTTATTTTACAAAATCTTATGTGAAACTTATAACGAAAGATATTTTACAATGATGGCTATATGCTAGGTAAAAATGATTTCTAATATATAATCAAGTAATTTATGTAACAGTATACAAAAAATGAAATTGCGATTACATAATATTTTAATATATATACACACACGGAAAAAAAAGAGTTGTTAAATCAACTAAAAACTTCAATTATTCAACAAATCTACTACCACAGTATACAGATAGTTAGTTTTTTATATTAAAGTAGCAAAGTTGTACAGCTGAATAAAATTAGCGATTATAAATAATCATATTTATGTAATAATACAGTATTAATACAGAAAAGATAACTTTCTACAAAAATCAATCCAAAATTTTTAACAAAACATACCAGCTATAAGATATGGTGCATACTTTTTCTTTCTAATGAAGAAAACTTGTTACATTAACAATTTTCATTGTAACAAAAAATTAGCTGAATTAGCAATGATACTTGCTTACAGACATCTTTTTTTTGTTGTAACATTAAATATTTTTAGTTACATAGAGGTATTAAAATCGCGCAGCAAGCTATATATACATAGGTATACATATAGTCTTGATAAAAGTCACTCAATATATTTTTCCCGTGTAACTTTATATATTAATATTACATGTGATTATACATGGGTAGTTTTTCCTAATTTTTTTCTAACTTCTCTTCTTATAAAGGAAATAATGTAAAAATTATTCTTCTGATTATTATTTACCTTTTTACTATTAAAACGTTCGCATATTCGCTATAAACATCTCTCTAATCCCTTCACATCCTGTATCCACCAATTATATTCCATTCAAACTGAAACTCAATTGAATTATTATTCGTATTTTCTATAAGAGATACGCGTAAAGAACTAGAAAAAATACTAGAAACGATTATTTTAACGTTTTTATTGCCGATTGTTGAATAAGACAAACATGTTTGTTCAATTAATTTGCGATTGATTTTTTATTTTTACATAAATAAAATATTTCAGAGATCACAATTTCAAAAGGAATTGCTGTGCAATTATGACTGCTTGGCCCATTAGCTCAGTTGGTTAGAGCGTCGTGCTAATAACGCGAAGGTCGCGGGTTCGATCCCCTCATGGGCCAAACATATTTTTTTATTCCAATCTCTGTCACGATTTTTACGTTTAATTTTAATTTAACCTCGGTAATATTAAAAAGTACGAATATGATAACAAGCACTGTTTCTGATAAAAAAAAAAAAAAATTAACGACACTCTTTAATTCAATGGAATTAATTCGAGGAACATGAGAGTGTAAAGTAATTATCTAGTACTATTTTCCGACAGAATTGAATGTCTTGACTTTTGAGTCCCCCTGTATATATAGCTCCCTCAAGGCACAAATATCCCTAGAGAATGCTGTATAAATATTATTTAAAAAATTAAAATAAGTTGTTCTAATATTTCAAGAATATAGTATATTATATAACATTTTTTAATATTATGAGAATATTCTATGAATGTTACATGTCCACTTATATAATATCCTTGCTATTTCTTTTAATATACTATTAAAATATTATTAAAATATTTATTGAATATTGCATCGCGATGTAATAATTTTATAAATTAAAGTAAATGTTATAGTACTTTTTAACGTTTATACAGCATTACAGTAATATTAAATAATGTTATTTTTAATAATTATATGATATTATCAAGAGCAAACATATAACTATCCATTAATATTTTAAGAATATTATTTAACATTATATAATTTTAGTAAAATATTCTTGAAATATTACATATTATATTATGCGCCTATAGAGCTGTTCCTCTTAATGTTCCTCTGCAATTAAATTGAAAAAAGCAGCCAGAAAAGAGCAATACTGATAATGTAAATGTAAAAAAAATTTTTTTTATTAGTTAATTTACTTTACTGAGATACAGAATAATTTTCAATCTTTACTTGGTCATCAATTCTTATACGCACGTGTGTATCAATATGAAGTTTTTAATTCAAAAGAAAAAATATTCTACATTACGCATTGTAAAGTCAGCGTTTAATAACCAAATAGGGCATGTATGTACAGAGTCTTCCATTAAGAGGTTTCATTTTAAATTAATAAAAAAACGAATGTTTTTGAAAACATTGAGATATATTTATTCTAATCCAAAGTACAGATTGTGCGATTAAACGTGGAATACAATATTGTCCAAATGGCCGTCTCGACTTTTCTTACAAATGGTTATTCTTTTGAGAGAATTTTTCATTACGTTTTCGCACAATTACGACTCAATTTCGCCAACATTTTGAATATTGTTTCTGAGCGTCTGTATCGTTTACGGAACATTTGTGTAAATTTTATCCTTCACATGATCCCAAAAGAAAAAAATCACCCCAAGGCGCAAGGGTGTGAAATCGCACGATCTGAGCGGCCAATTGAAGTCTCCGTTACGCGAAATGACACGTCCAGGGAACTTCTCCGCGAAATTTCTCCATGTAGTAAGTTTTCTATGCGTTTCTATTTTTATGCGTTGCTCAAGCAAATATCCATTGTTATTAACCGCATAGTTTTTACTCGACAACTGTCAAATATGACAACTCCATCTATAACAGGTATAAAATGTCGCGAAATTTAAAATGAAACCTCTTAATAGAAAACCCTATATATACGTATATAATGTGTCTGCGCGCGTGTATGCGTGTGTCTTGGCTCTTCTTTTGAATAAAAAAGAATTTTTTGCGACATAATTTAGTAATAAAATATGTATTGACTATATTGTTAAGGAGATTACAAAATAGGGCTCTAAATGTTTCCGGTTAATATCTGAGTTAAAGACTTGTATTTTCGTTTGCAATGGATTAATATTTAAATAGCCGTCGCATCTCGATTTGTTCATTATGTATCGCTATATGTATGTACATATATATATCCGCACATTGTCATATCCACGAGTACACAGATAAACGCATGCCTATACATACATACGTTTCATTTGCCGCAATTTTCAACAAAATACGTTCTCTTTTATTGAAAGGCCTTTGGTTCACTTATAGTCCATACACATATCTAACAGTAAAAACAAAATACGATTACACAGTTCAACAAAAATGACTTTGAATATACCAAAACGAGACTATAATTATTTCCTACAGTTTTTTGGACTTCGAGTCCGACTCTGTGTGTGGTTGCAGAATTGCTTTATCACATCACAATTTTGAGAAATTTACAATTAAAATGACAAAAAAAGGTTATTTTCACATATTTCGTTATATTATATGATAATTACGAAAAGCGATATACTGAAGAAGTGTGTTCTTGCAATCAAAATGTAGCGTGTTATTAGGACTTTCAACTTTAAAAAAAAAATTGTATTCTTTATGGTTAACAAGTTATAATGTTTAAAAAATTTTTTTTTACAGGAAATGACTATAGTCTTGTTTTGGTATTTTCTTTTGTTGAACTATGTTATCAAGTATAAATTATCAAACATAAGGTATGTTTCTCTTTTCATTTTCTCGCGAAACAGTCATGCATTATACTCATCATTCCTTACTTCATATTTGTTGAAACAATCATATTGCACATACCGAAACTTTGATTCGTAAAATAAGTATAAGTGACGATAGGTGAGCATGCTCGTGAGTTTAATTGTGTAAAGTCATAAGCATCTCGATTTTAACTCATTTTTGCTTCTGTGGTAATAGTTTTTCTGGCCATCGTGAAAACAATTGTTTGTATACTTTTATTAATATTTTATCGAAATAAAAATTGACGCAAAGTTAGTGAGAATTAATGATACAGCGCAATTAAACTTGATTTAGTTTAAGCTTTTGATTGCATCAACGTTACTTTAATTTTAAGCAAAGTTAAAAACTCTCTCTTTTTGTCTTTCTATTGGTTTAAAAAAAAAAGAGAGTTTTAAATCTCGCATTTAAAATACTTAATATTGATGCAAATCATTTTCTTTGCTTTAGATAAGCAAAGAAACACTGATTTTTCTCGTCTACTTTGCTTATAAGATTTAAATGTTAAAATATTTATATCTTCGAATTTTTAATTCTTTCGAGATATTGAAATGCTTTAGAAGTTTAGAATATTTTTATCAATTATATAACTTTTACTAATTTATCAAGATAGATAAAAGAATACATGACTGAAAATTTTTTCAGACATGAATTTTTATTTTGGACTCTACCCACTTTCAGATATTATTTACTTGACACAAGGCTATTGACTATAATAATTTTATTTAATACATTACCAATATATACCATAAAACATAGATGTTAACTAATTCGACCAGAATAACATACTAGACGCATGGATCATTTATGGTCCATGATTTAAGCCTAAATACGCATTCTCAAACCGAACTCTCTGGAATCATATATACTTACATATTATGCTAAATTGTTTATTTATATATATTGTTGTAAATTTGTTGAACTTAACGCGTTCTATATGTATATCGATTATTTGTTACAATAATAATATAACTAAAAAATTGTCATCCTTTTTTTGCAATGAATTATTTATAATATTTTTGTGTGTTTTTACTTATTGTGTATTTACATTGTAAAGTTTCTTAAAAGACTTTGTTGAAAAATAATATTTTTGAGTTTCTTGAAAAAAAAAGAATAAAAATATAAAAAAAAAAGAAAAACTATACTTTAAAAGAACATTCCTTTATTCTTTTTTATATCACATTTGTTATCAAAATTGCATTTAAAAATTAATATAACGTTTTAATGATTCGAAACATTATTTTAGAAAACTTTGGTTTTTGAATTATGTTGTTGTAACAAATGAGCGATATAATATTCTATACCGTCGCGTCTTATAATATTCAAAATTAAATACAATGCGTTTTGCGAAATGAACGCCGTGCGCCGGCCAAGTTAACCTTTTCGATACGGCTTTATTTTTCATTACTATGTCTCTCTACTATACGGACAGTCGAATCTCGAGTACTGCCAGTTGCCACTGTATGGGACAACTATGACACGAACGTCACTTCATCGGAGAAGGAGAATAGTAATTAAATTTTACCGTGTAATGTAAAGTATTGGTGGAAAGAAATCATGCTCTAACACATTTATAGTAATAACAGTCAAAAAATTGTTAAACTAAAGTCGTCATTAGTGCAGGGCAAGCGTTCAAAACTGGACGACTATAGTCGTTGTTAGTAAACAGCGAGCGTTCAATGTTGAACGATTATAGTCGTCGTTATAGTATCGAAAGGGTTAAACTCTTCTCTCAGATAACATCTATTAAACCTACTTTGGACGTAAGACAACGTCTTATTTTTACAAACAGTTTTATATGTGTAAAGATTGCAAACGAAAACACAAGAGAGAGAGAGAGAGAGAGAGAGAGAGAG